TCAATGAAATCAAATTTTATTTCGATTTCGAGGGAAAGAATAATGTAAGAGAATATACTTATAATAATAAATATTCTTACAATAATATAAGAATAATACAATAGCAATTACTGTTTCATCTCTTCATTATGATTTATGCATTTATGGCAACCATGAATAGGTATAGCTTAAAACAAACTAAGAACATCATTGTATTCATTTTAGCTTATTAAAATGATTAAAGGAAGAACAAAATTTGTGCTTGTCTCTTCATGTCTTGCAATCGATACAGACAATTTTTATTTTGCATGAACATTCGCAGTCTGTTTATTGCTTTTGCTTGATATTATGTCATTATGAGAGGTGATTTTTTTTAGTAGACTAGCAGATATGATTACCAGAAGCAATCTCTTAGTTCTTGCAATGAAAAAGACAGTCTCTTATTTCAAGCTTATACTGTCTCAAGGTTATGCTCATAAACCAGAAACTAATAACGAAAGTTCGCCTAAAGGTCCATAGTGTAATCACGTCTCTCTCTCTGTTTCCAAGACTTCGGTGTTTAACTCAAGCGTGCGAGTTATTCTCTAGTGAATTGTTTTCCAATCAGATAATTCGGTGTATATTTCGCTCATGAACGTTTCAAACCTGCATCGAGTTGGTTTGTCGACACGGTCCCGGAAACCAGTTCCTCACGGATGGACAACCGCGGGCTAGACCGCAAACGAATCATCCTTGGCCTCGAGTTACGTATCATCCGGTTCGAGCCGGCTCGAATGTCTCAGCAACACGATACTTCGACTTCAGGTCGGACCTGCTGGTAATCGTATGCCTAACAGACCGTTTCTGGTACACGCGTACGCACTTAGAACCGTAGAAACTTAAAGGGCCTATTCCAGCGCGAATCTTTGAAAGAATCGATTCCCTTTTTCACACTTTCTTGAAAAAAATCAAAAAACGTCTACGGAATCTTATGTCTCTGAATTCATTGAAGTAAGAAAGTTATTATTAAGTTATATTATTAAGATATAACTTAATGATCTTGAAGTAAGAAAGTTATTATTAAGTTATATCTTAATAATCTTTGAAGTAAGAAAGTTATTATTAAGTTATATCTTAATAATATAACTTAATAATAACTTTCTTACTTTAAAGATTATTAAGATATAACTTATAATAATAACTTTCTTACTTCAAAGATTATTAAGATATAACTTAATAATAACTTTCTTACTTCAAAGATTATTAAGATATAACTTAATAATAACNTATATAATATATAATATATGATATATATTATAAAAAGATTATATATATAATATATAATCTTAATAATCTTTGAAGTAAGAAAGTTATTATTATAAGTTATATCTTAATAATCTTTAAAGTAAGAAAGTTATTATTAAGTTATATTATTAAGATATAACTTAATAATAACTTTCTTACTTCAAAGATTATTAAGATTATATATTATATATATAATCTTTTTATAATATATATCATATATTATATATTATATATAATCTTAATAATCTTAATAAATCTTGATAACTTAATAATAACTTTCTTACTTCAAAGATTATTAAGATTATATATTATTAAGATAAGAAATATA